GTATCGAAATAACATCAGATAGGAGTGAAAGGCAAGTTAACCAAAGAATGATAATTACACTTTTGTTGTTTTTGTTTTGACCAAATCAACTACTACTTCAACTTCGACATCATGCAACTAAACAAATGTAGCTATTGATACCTGCAATACAATGGATGGGGCAGAGACAACTTTAGCACTTGGTCACATTTTCTTTTCTTTGTTAACATCCACCACTTCTGTCACAATAATATTAAAAACATTACCAGAACCATTCATTCTCTGAGTTCCAGGACATCCCACTTCACAAAATGAGGCACAGGGACCTCCACATTTAAGAAGAGTCATATGACTGCTAATGTAATTTCATATCACACTTTTTTTACAACAGCTTAAAGGCATGATAGAGTCACAGCAGCAAGCCTTAACTTTGCTAATCCTGCCCAAGACTCCTAATATCAATTAAAGGAATGACATAGAAAAGGGACACATGAAAACCTGCACCAAATGTTTTTCTCTGCTGTGGTGACATTTGAAGCCAAGATCTGTCAAACACTGACCTGAATGTTTTCCAAGAGTCAGGAGTAAATTAGAGATTTATTATAGGTAAACATCCAGTTGACCTGTCAACCTAGCACAGTGTTATTGTTGGCTACAGTATTCAAAGGAGCTGTTTTCTCACAATTGGACACACTGTACTGTGTTGCAGAAACGTTTCCACACATCTAACCCGAAGGCAGAAAACAGTAGACTTCATAAAAAAAAAATAATAATTTGAGGCTGACTTTTGCATCTTTGCATCTGCGTGCTGTTTACACAGGGCAGATACCATCACAGAATATCCAGGCAGTATGCACATCGACTTCAACCATTCAGGAAGCACAGAGTCATGCAGCCATTCACTTCCTGTTTATTTTGTCACAGCAGCTTGGCGTCTACAGCCGTGACTGGGCAGAAAAAGCAGAACAGTCTGTTAAAAAACACTGACTTATTTGGGATCAGGGGGTTGTGTGGATCTCTGGGGTTTCATTAAAAGACTAAACCGAGGACGGCTCACGGGGTGTTTTCATTCAAACTACATCTCCTCTGTTATAACCTAATTATAGATGAATTCTAAACACATGAGGAAGGCTTATGCATTTTGCAGTAAATGACAAAAGCTCTTGTAAACATCTAACCACTCGTCAATGTACAATTAATTACCACAGTAAAGAAAACTGCAGTCTTTGGACGTATTTCTCAAGCGCTCATGTACAGATCTAAGCTTTTATTCAACAAAAAAAAGCTCCAAATATTTGCATTAGAAAACCCAGTGACGTAGTATAAAAGATTGATGCTCCCAGACCAGGAGAAGGATTTATAGATTTTTTTAATAACATTTTAAAGAACTGAACTGAGAACGTCGATCCAGAATAGACCTCACTGTTTGCTGTAAATGATATGTCTGATGATACGTTTACCGCCAACATACTGTACTATTTAATGACACATCTGAGACGAACGCGTCTCAGAACACGTCCGTTTGACTCTCTCGGGCTGCAGCTCAGGATAATACTTGACTTCTACTGAAGACATACACGCAAAAGTGTGTTGACCTGCACTGTCGAAAGTTGTTACGCAACAATTGCTTTAAATTTTACAAGTAACCACAATTACACTGTTAAGCTGAAACTTTAGTAGCCCGTCTTCACAATTCGTTGTGAACTGAATCATACAGAGACCTCGTAAAGACGAGCTGCAGCAGGGCTTACAGGGCAGGAGACGTCAGAGAATCTCATTAGTGGCTGTGCAGGACTTTAGTGGCTTACACTGCTGAGTGCACTCTTCAAGGTTGACTAGAGAGGTGGACAGGAAATACTAGTGAGGTTTACCACAAGGTGCTATAGTACTATGTGAGTTGTGAGTGTGTGTCGAAGGGTGAGGGTCCGACCTCTGAGAATGTGAATGTCATGGACATATGGAGAAAAACTCCAAGGTTGATAATTGCTTGCAGCTGACTCACAAATGGTCATGTGTGACATCAGGATTTCAACGGTTGTTGTGCGATTGCCACGGCGACATGTATTGTGTGCATAGAGTTAGCAGGATACAAGAGAACAGTAGGTTCTCTGTTCAGAACAGAATATATGCTAGACATTTATTACAGTCCCAGATTTCATAATTAAAATGATCCTAAAGGAGATGACAGTAGAGTCACACGGAGCCATTGTTTGTTCTTGGTTAAAGGGTGAAGAAAATGCAGAACTGGCTGCGGTGCTTTATAATTAGCTGTAGCTATAGTACATCTGTGATGAGTAAAGGCCAAAGTCAGGGTCACGTAGTGGATCAGTGGTTTGTTCTGTAGCCTTTTGCCACGCTTGAGTGGGATTTATCCAGGAAATTCTGGAAACTCTGTCCATTTTTGTCAACACCGATAAAATATGAGCAAAATGTCCTCACGAGTTCACAAGTTGGGGACGACTGTTCTGTTTGATATGAAGGGGATAAAAATTAGAGGTTAATGGGGTAAGGTGGAAGTGACGGAAGAAGAGAGTGGAGGCATGTTTAGATGGCGGGCTCACTCTAATCCTATAATGACCTTTCACGTGTAAGAACGGTGGATGGGGGTTGGAAAAAAAAGGTTGAGCATAAAAAGGAAGGAAGTCAGTAAAGGATTGAAAAAATATAGAAGCTACAGCAGACATTTGGGGTTTCAGTGAACTTGACGTTTGGAATCGAAACAATCACACGCTGAATTAAATTACACAGCAGGATTGAGAACATTTCCGTGCAATCATAAGTTTATATGAATGCGAACTAGCATGGTCTGCATGCGCATGTCGTTGTTTCTAAATGTAGCTTTGGGTTTGGCAGTCTGACAAAAAGTCTGTCTGAAATCCCATCTTCAGTCCTGTCACAGCCAGGATGTCAAGCTGGAGTCATCCACTTCAGGAGTCAAAGGTCAGGTAAGTAGCTGCTTTGTGCTATGAATCCACCGCCTGACACTGAGCCAGGTAGTGAATGGGAAAACTTCTCCGAATCAGCAGCTTTATTTCACCTGCTGTCTAGAAATGTCCCAGCTGCCTCGTCTCTAACTCTGGTCTCTAACTCAATATTTTAAATAGGGCTGCAGAGTGGACAGGAAATGTAGTAGCCTGTGTTCTGTTGACGTGGATGTTGGGTTTGGTGTTTTGCTGAAATTGGAATTTTGTTTCCCCTCCTGCTTTCTGGCAAACAACCACAAAAGTTTTTCTATTGAAACAACAAGTCTCTTACGTCTTTTATAAATCCTTCTATTCCAGGGCTGTCAAACTCATTTTCACCTGGGGCCACATCAGCAATGCAGTTCCCCTTGAAGGGCCGGTTGTAAACGGAAGACTGTACAGACCAGGGGTCCCCAAACCCTGGTCCATGGACAAATACCAGTCCATAGGTCATTTGGTACTGGGCCGCAGTGGAACACCATTAAAAAATGTACTTGATTTTTACTAGTTTATTTTATTCAAAGAAAATCCTGTCATATCCATTTACCATCTTTACTTAAAGATAATCTGGCAATATTTCAAATAATAGGTCACGGGTAACAGGGTAACATGGCTGACCAGTCTTTGGGACCAGAAATAGACTAATACATGTTTCTGCAGTTGATTATTATTTATTCAAGATACAAATATTGTATTTTAATAGGTTAAGAAACTCTGCTGCATGGACTTTACTAAATGTTTTAAGCTTAAGCTTAACAATGTATAATGTCAAAGTGAGAAAAAAATAAAGAAATAAATTTAGAGCAGCGTAACTATGCAGAAACTTCCTCACCTGCGCCTGAGTGTGTGTCTGTGTAAACCGCTGCAGGTATGTAGGTAATCTGCTGTAATCTGGTTTATGAGCTCGTCTGCAGTGACGTAGATGTACGTGCCTAGATCAATGCTTATACATCGCCTCTGACAGCCAGCCTGTGGCCTATTCCCTACATATGGGCAGACACACTTAGCTGTGCATAATACTCCACCCAAACTCCCAGAATACTTGGTCTGGGTTCCATAAAGGAAGTTTGAACTAATATCTTCACACGTCTCTGCAGTTTGCACAGAAGGAAGAACTCCATGTTCTCCAATCCATCGTCCTGGCACAAGTTCATATTTTCATGGTTTTAAGCCTTTGCATAAACAGCTCCTGAAAATGCTCAGAACATCAATGTAGTTGCTACTGTAAAAAGCCTACACCATGACACCAAAACCTATTCTTATTAAGTGTGCAGTTCAAGGAGACCACAGGAATCGTAACTGTTTATGGAGTCTCTCTCTGGTTTTGGCACACCTTGACAAACTGGACTCAAAAAAGTCCAGTTCGTCAAGGAGAAACTTGTGTTTTTGCCCTTCAGCTTGTTAAATATGTGCTTGTGTTATGTTTTTAACTGCATTTGCATGAACTGTAATAACCTTTTCTAAAATATTTTCCAAACTAGAGCTAGAACTAGAGTTTCTAAGAGTGCAGGTTGTGTATTCACACACGTGTTTTGCTGTCTTGGCTGGAATATGCAAAGTTGCTTTGAATTAACCAGCTTGTTTACATTTTACTTTTGTGCCGAAATATATTATGGATCATTCTAATTGACACCCCTAGAGGGAGTTATGGGTGCGTGAGTATTCCTGATACTCGCCTATAATATGGTTATTCATATTTTTGTATACGTCACGGATGTATACTGTATATAGACAAGTACTTTATAACATAAAATCATATATATATATATATTTATATATATACACACACACATACATATATACACACATATACATATATATACATACATACATATGCACATACATACATATGCACATACATATATACACACATATACACATACATATACACAGATATATATATATATATATATATGATCCTTGTGAATTGTGGGACAAACTTATTTCCAGTTTAAACGCACTGTACAATTCAATATATGGAATTATACGTTAGAATAAATAGTTGTGTTGAAAACAATGCACACGTCAGAGTTTGGATTTTCATCCTGGAATTCTACTCAAAGAGCAACAGAGGAGAAGACTGCATCACTCGAAGTCACTTTTTGAGTGTGAGGAATCGGTCGATGATTTGTTTTTTGGGTCAGGTCGACGTCCAAAACCACTCTCTGTTATCTAGTAACGCCCATTCTCCTGACACGCCTCAGTGTCTTGGCTTCCAGCCACTCCATGTAAGCGTGGGAAGTGGCAGCGACTGTTACTTAGAGCGAACCGTCTGTCAAACCGAGCCGCTCCAACGCGTCTCAGACCAGAAGCGCACCGTCAGTCCACACGACTCCCCCGACTGCCGTGCTGCATTCCGCGGTGACAATCAGAGAACGACAGGCAAAATGTAAAGACCAAGAAGGTGCACACCGCTCTGTGAAAGTAGGTGTCGAAGTGAGAATCGGACCGGACACAAAAACGATGCGTAAAGTTTCTGTTGCGCAGCATCAGCTGAGCAGCTAAAGAACGGCGAATGTTCAAGAGTGAAGGGCGAACATCTCCCCCGGATGTGCTGGACTCTGCAGTGAGTTGTGAAACAACAGAGCCGTCAAGAGACAATTGATTTGTGCAGAGTGGCAGAACGCAGCAGATGCTCGACACTGACTAAGCTCTTGATTGAAATTTGTCTGTGCGCAAGAAGTAGGACAACTACTGCGCAACAGTTCTTCTTCTTGTCGTGCGTAAAGACTCTTTTGTTCCGCGTTGATAATATGTTACAGTTCACCATCAGCGTTTTAGATCTACTGAAAGTTGCGGGCAGCTGATGCCACTGACCGGCGGCGGTCAGCGGAAAGTTCTGTTTTTTGACACTGCGTCTACTTTTCATTAACATGGACGAGAGTTTAGAGACTGTTGCTGTGGTAGACAGCTGCGCAGACAAGGACAGCATCAGCCTCAGCGTCCTGAACTGGGAGCAAGTGCAGCGCCTGGACACCATCCTCACCAGCTCCATCCCCATCCACGGCCGCTGGAGCTTCCCCACCCTGGAGGTGAAGCCGCGGGACATCGTCAAAGTTGTCCGCAGCCGCATGGAAGAGAAGCGGATACATGTCCGGGAGGTGCGCCTGAACGGCTCGGCGGCCAGCTACGTCCTGCACGAGGACAGCGGCCTCGGCTGGAAAGACCTGGACCTAATATTCTGCGCCGATCTCAAAGGAGAGATGGAGTTTCAGACTGTCAAAGATATAGTTCTGGACTCTCTTCTGGACTTCTTACCTGAAGGAGTTAATAAAGAGAAGATAACGCCAGTGACTTTAAAGGTAGTGTATGCAAACATGGATCATTTCAGAAACACGTTTGCGGAGCAGAACTAAAATTTGTCTCTTTGTTTGGCTGTCATCTTCAAAAGTATGCAAACTATCCGTTTGTTTATTTTTCACTGCTGGTATTTGCATATCCGCAGAAATGTCTCTGAGCTCAAATACAAAACATAAATTTAAATAAAGCTAAATTTGTCCACAAAGGAATAATGGCACAAGAAATTCAATTTACTGTTGTCATAATCAAAGGAGGATTTTAAGGAGGATTCACTGTAATCCAATAGACATGATTCAGTCAGCCCTCAGTGTCGCCACCTGTGACAGACATTGAGGATAAGATTTGTACCTGACATTTGTATATGATAATGGATGCTGCTCAGACTTAAACTTATATTCCAGACTTTTATTTTGAAAATCTTTGTTTAAATCTATAATAAAATGAATTAGGAGTAAGAGTGATCACTCCAGGAAGGAAATATGAAACAGACAAGCCTGCAGATATGGGAGTGATCTAAACATGTTCTTGATAACGACTTAGACCTCAAGAGTTTTAATAGTTCAAGGAGATTTTTTTTTTTCATTTGCTTTTATTTTTTTCATTTTATCTCTGGGTTGTAGGAGTGCAACATTGACCATGTTGTACTGTAACAAATTATTGGGAAAAAAATGCTGATTTAAATTTTGGTTGCAATGACTCAAAACACATGGATCCATATGTTGTCATTCTGAATTCCATAGAAGACGGAACACATACCTACTGTATTTATAATAGATAGAAGCAGAAACCTCGTATGTAAGGACTTATTGAAAACACACATGGTGTGAAAGTCCACTCGGTCAGCAGAGAGGTGTTGCGCTGTAAACATGGCTGTTCCTGACAATTCCCTTGTGTGTTTCAGGAGGCCTACGTGCAGAAGATGGTCAAGGTTTGTAATGATTCCGATCGCTGGAGTCTCATCTCTCTCTCCAACAACCATGGTAAAAATGTCGAGCTCAAGTTTGTGGACTCGCTTCGACGGCAGTTTGAGTTCAGTGTGGACTCCTTCCAGATCCGTCTAGACTCACTTCTCCTTTTCTACGAATGCTCAGAGCATCCGATGGCCGCCACTTTTCATCCCACAATCCTCGGGGAGAGCGTCTACGGCGACTTTCCCACTGCTCTTGACCACCTGCGTAGGCGTCTCATTTGCACACGGAGTCCCGAGGAAATCCGAGGAGGGGGCCTGCTGAAGTATTGCCACCTGCTGGTGAGGGGTTTCCGTGCGGCCTCCGATGCTGAGATGAAACTGCTGCAGCGCTACATGTGCTCCCGATTCTTTATAGACTTCTCTGATGTGAGTGAGCAGCGGAGGAAGCTGGAGTCCTATCTGCAGAACCACTTTGTGGACCTGGAGGACAGGAAGTATGACTATCTGGCCACGTTGTACAATGTGGTGCAGGAGAGCACAGTGTGCCTGATGGGCCACGAAAGACGGCAGACACTCAATCTCATCTCATCGCTGGCATTGAGGGTCCTGGCAGAGCAGAACGCCATTCCCAACGCTGCCAACGTCACCTGTTTCTACCAGCCAGCCCCTTACGTATCAGACTGTAACTTCAGTAACTATTACGTTGCTCAGATTCAGCCTGTCTACCATTGTCCTCCGTCGCCTCCTCATCAGTATCTCACTCCTGTGCAACACCCCATGTACGGCACCTGGCTGCCCTGTAACTAGACCATGTGAACATCGAAGCACGCGTGCGCTCAGGTCAGAATTTGCGGAACTCAATTAGATCAATTCTGGTTTTCTTTCTCTACTGTGAGGTTGTGGGCATTTAAATGAAATTACAAAGTACACCCTGAGGGCAAGATTAAATAGTAAGACATTTAAATACTGATAAAAGAGGAGAATAAATGAGAGAAGGGAAATGAGAAGACATCCCGAAATTGAGGCAGTGAACCATGAATAGTCTGCACAGCATGCAGGAGCCAGGCACACTCTGGTCGATGTCAATAAGTGAGACTTAACATCAGTTTCATGGTTGGTTGGTGACAACCAGCGGTGGTACCTCCACCACGCACGGCCTCTGAGTCATCAAACCTCCAGGAATTGTCCTTCTGCATTTTGAGCTTTAGCACACAGAAGGTGAAAACACACATGAATCCTAGACATGATACAAAGCTAAACTACATTAAGGCTCAGAGCCAGCTGCACAAAACAATGAAAACCAAGTGTGCTCTGTGGTTTGTGAATGGCTGCGGTGGTAGAAAAGGGAGGAGGGCCTACAGAAAGAGGAAGTAGACATTGTTTACAAATCCAAAGATCTACTTTTACTCTCCACTTCGGCAATTGACACTCACAAAATAAAAACAACACAACAATGCATGCTCTTATTTCTGCACAGTAATAAGTGTCTTAAGTGCCTACATAAAAGCCTAAAGGGAAGAGACTTTTGGGAACATGTTGAATTGAGTTGGATTATTGAGCTGTCTCAATGACAACTCACAACAACACCTGACAATTGATAACAAATGCAGTGGGAATTTACTAATGCTGAGTAAGGTCTCCGACACAGAGGAGCACAGTTTGTCAAGATTTACTTGAAGTCTGCTTTAATCTGCACCTCTGATGGACGACTGCACCTCTTTATTGAGGAGGAAGCAACAACGTAATCTGGTCATCTGTAGAAAACAGAGTGGGTTCAACTCAAGATAGTGAAATAAATGTACAGCAGCAGAACAAGGTTTGGTACGGACAACAACACGTTTGTGCAGTTTCATAGCCAAGTCTGATACTACTATCTGGGCTTGTGTTAGATTTCAGCCTGTTGATGAGTACACAGCCACATAACCAAAACAGTCCTATAACAGGGAGAGTGAAGAATCTGTTTTAATGATCTAAAAACAAAAGCTTAAAAATAAAGCATTAAATAAATGTAATTTCCTTGGTCATTTGAAATAGCATGTACATCATCTGCAGTGACGCTGTCCTCTACTTTATTTTTCTTCATTTTTTTCCTATGCAAATTTGTTGAGGTGTTTGTGGATGCAGTAATGTAGGTTGAAAAGTAAAGAGAAAAGGAAAACTGCTAGGATTAGTTAAGTTGAATTAAATCTATAAATACAAATTTTATTCGTGTTTTAAAATGCAATTTTCAGATTAAGAATATAGTTTGGCTTTCAAAGTTTTGTGTTATGTTTAGAAATAGGAAGAAGTTCTTTAATAAACATTGTTAGATGGCTACGGTGAGTACAAGATGCTCATGTTCACCATATCTGGGTAACCCAACAATAAAACATAAAAAAATTAAAAATAAAAAACCCAATAAAATACATGTCCTATATGCAATCATAGCTTAAGTCAGAATTTTCTGGCCTTTTTTTTAAATTTGTGAAATTTATTTTTTCCAACTTTCATTAATTAATTCATTTAATATAAAAATAATTCTTGCACCACCAGAGTTTACTTTTTTCAGTTGTATTTATAGCACACCCTGTGGGGAAGGAAAGAGACATGAATACTTTTTTTTGTTTACTAATACAGAGAGCCAAAATCACTTCTTATGTCTAAAAATATATGATACACAGACTAAAAGGGTTTATGATTTTGACAACATCAGCAAAACTTGTTCTGGTTTCAATGAGAGGCCCTGAGAGTTTTCTTCTCGACTTCTACCATAAGTCATGGGAGCGCAGTATTGCCCTGCAAATTACAACACCGTTTTTTTTGTACTTTACTCCTTTAGAAAATTGTCTTACATATTCATACGTATTATCTTTGCTCCATAGTGTGCCACCAGATGTGAGATGAATTCTGCAAATTCTGCAAAGACAATAACTCACTCGTGCAAGGCTGCCCTCTGGTGCACTTGAGAAATGATAAAACTATGAGTCTGCCAGTGAATCCATAACACTGGTTATGGTTGAAAGAAAAAATAAAAATACTGTAACTTCAGGTTTCCAATAACAATGTAATGGCAGTAGTATTTGGTTGGCTGTGTTGCTGTGTCTTCTAACAGTTCCTGTCCAATGTATGTCGGAGAACATGTGGTAGCCTTCAGCCATCACCGAAACAGAAAATGTATTTCATTGGTATCCTGTAGGCTTATGTTAAAACATACTGACATGTCAATCCATATGCAGTGTATAAACACAAACATATACATATACATGTGTACATATGCATATGTACACATGTACATATCTAACCCTAACCCTATATACACATGTATATGTGTAATTATTTGACCTAAATTACACACGTTTACTTTTCAAACTTTAAACTCAAAGACGGTTCATACGTGATTTGCATCTTGTTAGATTTCTCATCTTTTTAAAACAGAAGGTTCAAGATATGCAACTCTGGTATAAGTGTCAGCAAATATCTGCAAGACTCACAGTAAAGTACTGTACTGTTGCTGTGTTTGTCAGAAGGGTGGAGGGTGGATGTTGCATGTGTGTGTGTGCAGGGCTGTTGCAGCAGTGTGTTAGTATTAAACTTCATTTGTCACCAGGAAGGCAGGTACTCACTGCCCTACGCCTGACTTAAGGCCAGGAGGATGAAGTTAGCGCCAGTAAATGTTGGTACCTGTTCAGTATTTAATCCTGACATTTTTTTCTTTGAAAGAACCTTGCTGCAGAAGTCAGTTGCAGCATTTTTTTTCTCATTATGAGGTGAAAAGGAGAAAATGGCTTTCAGACAAAGGCGATCATGTAGATATTTTAACGGCAGTACAACAACTCTGGTTGTTCCTGAGCTGTTCTCAAGTGCAAGAGACTGTATATTCTCACTACCACGTTGTCAGAGCAAACCTATTTTTCTATCAATCTCTATTTTTGTACAGTTTGTATAACAGAGGTGTGTTTGTGTACGGGTGGTGTGTGTGGTTCTTTTTTTATTTTTATTTTTGGCGGATGAGAGGCAGCGCGGCTGTGCACACTCTGAGATGCAGAATTGTATTATGTTTCAATGAATGTATGAGAAACATCAGAACTGTTTCCAAAGGATTTCTGTTGCTCCTATGAGATTGTGTGTCACTGTTTAATGTGTCCTGTTTGGGCTTGAAAATGATAATCTGATTATTGTATTGCAATTTGTTTTGACTTGATAAATAAATAAAAAATCCCAACAAAGTTCAATTTCATGTTTTTTTATTTTGTATAACTAGTGCCATAATTTCAGTTCCTGGACACCTTACCTCAGCGGAACTCAGTTTGTAATCGAGATAAAGAATGCTGTGCCTACTAAGGTTCCTAAGTTCCCAAACGATGAATAATTTTCCCTCTAAGCTACGTCATAGGAGACGTCAGCAACCATTCTTATCGAGCTTATGTTTGCCAAACCTCATTAATCCAGAACAATGGCAACTACTTTATGTATATGCACGACCAGCAGAACCTCGAGCAAAGACTGCCTTCTGGAGTCTGCATCAGACTCCACACTCTCAAATTCAGCTTTTTGTTTTTTACTTAAAATTCAAGGAATTCTTTTTTACTAAAAAGCAACCGTTTCAAGCGTGCCATGCTGAGTACACAGGTTCATGTCACTGTTGTCCTCTGTTAAGACTGAGTGAGAGTGGACACTAAATATAGGTCCCCCCTCAGCCACTATAAGGACATTAAGCTATCTGCAGAAAGCTGATTAGCCTTTGTCCCTAAGCATATACTTAGTGCTGTGATGAAGCCACTGCGGAGAGATTCCCGTCCATTGTAACTGCAACTTACTGGCCTGCTCTTTTTTAGGTCAGTCTCACTGGAAAGGACACAAAAATTGAGTCCACTTCCTTATCAAGGGCTCAGGAAGGGAGCTCAGAACAAAGGATTGAGTCACTGTGTTGCACAACAAGTACCAGCACTAAGTGATAGAGAGGGCTTAGGTAGTGACTTACTCAGCTGTTTAAGGAGTGCGCTGTTGAACAGGTGGGACGAGAGTGAGAAGAGTAAGAAAGGTCCATGTTTTGGACAAATTCATAGACACTGAACACTATATACCATATAGAGTACCACGTAGATACACGAACAAGAGAGTAAATATACATATATTTAATGTTTTTAATGTGAGTACATCACTTTAGCCTGGCCTTTGGAACAGCAGCTCCCATGCCAAAAAAGTATGGACAGCCCTGCACTAGATGAATAATGATAATAATAACACATAATCATTTTTATAATTTTTTATTTTTTTAATAATACAGTTTTTATTATTATAAATATATTTTATAATAATAATAACAACAACAACAACAACAATAATAATAATAATAATTATTATTATTATTATTAAGCTTTAATGAGCTTTCTCCGCAGGGTGGCAGAGCGCTCCCTTAGAGATAGGGTGAGGAGCTCTGTCACACGAGAGGAGCTCGAAGTAGAGCCGCTGCTCCTCCACATCGAGAGGAGTCAGCTGAGATGGCTTGGGCATTTACATCGCATGCCCCCCGGACGCCTCCCTCGGGAGGTGCTCGGGTGCCGTCCCTCTGGGAAGAGACCTAGGGGAAGACCTAGGACACGCTGGAGCGACTACGTCGCTCGGCTGGCCTGGGAACGCCTTGGGGTCCCCCCAGAAGAGCTGGAGGAAGTGTCGAGGGAGAGGGAAGTCTGGGTGTCCCTGCTCAGACTGTTGCCCCCGCGACCCGGCCCCGGATAAGCGGTTGAAGATGGATGGATGGATGGATGGATAATAATAACTGGAGTTTTCTGCTCTTAATGCTCAAAATATCATTACTTTTTTATTTATATAAACTTTATGAATCGCACACTGTTAACAGTAGATCCACTGCCCCTTGCACGCACCAACTATATGGTTCCTCTTGGAACAAATACTTAATCAAGGCATCGTCATTTAATAAGATTTTCTTAAGGCAGTATCTAAAACACTAGTGCTAAGAATCTAATATTGTCATGAGGTCGTAAAAAAAAAACAAATACAGGCTGGCTCAGCTCAGGTTTAACCGTTCATTTACAGTAGCCTTCCTTTAACCTCCTCATTGGATTGCCGTACTCTTCGGGTCAAATTAAGCCGTGTGGCCTCCCCAAAAGGCGACTATTGGGTACAGGGCTATGTGGCTGCCTGTACTGAGTTCTTTCTGTTCTCTGACAATTATTGAATGACGCATATGAAAGCAGTTAGTGCTGCCTTCTGATTGGACTCGGTGACCTGGAACAGTTGGGAAAGCCATCTGTGCTCCGACAGACAAATCACTGATTACTGGAAGACACTGATTTGTGTGAAACAAATTAATCTCGTGAAAAAAAACATTAAAAAGTAACTACACGTGTTTGGTTAAGTCTGCAAGATCATACTATATTCACAACACTCTGACTGGGAAAATCTCTCTGCAATTCCTAGTTTATGTACAGTTTTTGACAATCGTGTTTTAGCAGGAAGGAGATCATTTTTTTCACAGGGTCCTAATTCAGATAGCACGTCCTAAAATCCACCCATAAGTTGATGTGTCTCTGGGCACGAAAACTCCTTAACTCGCTCAGCGCAAGACCCAGGCCC